ATTCGGAAATGAAGAGAGAAAGTCGATGATTTTAATTGAAACATGATTTCATTGTATGATTCATCGTTTAAAAATAAACAACGTCATATGAATTTTATGTCGGTTTTATTTTCCCATGACTCGTGCAAACATTAATCTTGTTCCCTGCGTTGTTAGCGGGTGTGTCGCGAGCTTTCTCAGTGGATTTTGGGTTAGCGACAGGCTCGCATTCCACGACAGAACGATTATAATTGCGTACACGGTGGCCACGCGTTCACGAAAAGCATTAATTTAGAATGGTCTGCGGTTTTCTTGCGCGCTGACTGCTTGGCGCGCGAGGGCGCAACTCCCATATGCAATTAACAGACGCTCGTTCCACCGCCGTGGCCCGCGGAATGAGGAAATAAGTGTCGCCCCGGTGAAAAAGAGCTCTCCCACACACGCGATCTCTCTCGGCCTTCAGCCACTTTTTCCGGAATGGTAACATTCCTCCGAAGACAGTATGAATTAATATAAGTGCACATCTGAAAGTACAATCAGCTTTCTTCTACCCGGTGTTTTAAGCAGTGCCAGAGAAAGTGAGATAAACTGTTGCCATCGTCACAGGGAGAAATGTACTTAGAGATTATAGCATGGAAATTCTGTTACGCTTAAGTAGAAGAAATAGTATATTGTGTACGTAAAGTGGGCTTTTTTAGACCGAGTATGGAGCTTGTAGCCACACGAGGTCAATAGCCCACTTAGCCCATGTTTTTTGTAACGCACGAACGTATTTTCGCGATTTTTCGTACGAGTTCAGCAGGATTGATATGACTGTTTTTTGACACGACAATGACGCGCGACGAATCTAAGATGGGGGACGAGATTTTCGCAAATCTGACTTGAGATTCATAATCTGCGACCCAAAAAACCATCCTATACTAAATTTGTCATGAATCCGTTGATTTTCAAAAATCTTGTCTGAAGTCTTGGCTCCGCCATCTTGAATTTTGCAAATTTGACTTGAAATTCGTGATCAGCGACCCAAAAAACCCCCGTGTAACAAATTTGGCTTTAATCCGTTGGTTTTGTGGAAAATCATCAAGAGAGACTTAATGTTTTTGGATGATTTTCCAAATCGAAAGTTTTTGATGATTTTTTAAAAACCAACGGATTTATGTCAAATTTGGTATACGGGGGTTTTTTGGGTCGCTGATCACGAATCTGAAGTCAGATTTGACTAGTCTCCAACAAAAAATTATATACGACCTCTACAATATTGTCCATTGCATGATTCATCTTAATTACAGTTTAACATTGAATCACATTAGAAATTCTTATCAGGATTATTTCTAAACTAATTCTCATTCAGTTTTCGATGATTTAAACCGAATAAAAGTGGTGGAAGATAAATTTGTTGCGACACAAGATTCTCGTCCGGGGGCAAATATCGTTTCCGTTGTACGCTCAGTTCATTAGAGGTGATCTCGAGTCGCCCGAGGTCGCGATAACAAGCCTCGTAGCAGATTTCGTTTGCCGAACGAATTTTCGCCAGGTGGCCACGTTCATTAGACCCATGGAAGAGCACAGGGGCTCTATTGTTCCCGTTAGTCGATCTTCGAAACTGTTCAAGGATCCTTCAGATCGCGTTCCAGTTGCGTTTCGATCGTACAACCATTTCCGGACTCTTACGAACAAGACGTCTCGCGGTTACGTTGGAAAATTCGTTTGCCTAGCGCAAGTAAAATGTGCATGAAATTCGATGCCGGCCATCAGGTGTCTCGCGTTCGTCGTCGCGTGCGTTAACTTCCTCGGGATCGCCCTTGCGGACACCGCAGTCGATGTGCCGAGAACTTTGTCAAGGTCTAAAAGATACCTGGTCTTCCCGGAGGGTAGCAATGTACAGGTAAAACAATCTTCTTCATATCGACTTTATTTAGGTGAACAGAGGAGGTAAAAAATATATATTATTTTTAACGTTAGGAAAGTCACGTGACTGGCCCCTTAATGCCGGTTTAACACTAGAAAGACTGAAACTTAGTATATACCTATATTGCCCAAAGCAGTAAAAATGACTG